GAGATATATAACATTTCTTCAACTTCAAGCACGAAAACTTGAACTTTTGAAAGATGATCATACACTACACATAGTGTAGTAATTAACATGTCTCAAAAAGATCATGCGGAAAGATGTAAAAGCTTACAATAAAAACCTTTATCAACAATTATTTACATACGTATGAAACTTTTATTGAACATTAACCACTTCTGTGACTTCGCCATGGTGGACTGCCAGATGTGAGGGGTTTTTTCGCTTGAAACTATGTCCACGTGAAAGTCCATCAAAATCTGCCACAGTTTCTGCAAGGTATGCAGCGATCAACCAGCTACACTACATACAAACAGTGTGTTCAGCATTCGTTAAGTCAGTATGGCAGATCAGAAGTACCTAGCACAGGCACAACTTTCAATGTGTCTTGTGAATTCAGGACCTAGCGGGAAAACCTTCGAACACGTTCGACACTGAGCAGATCCATGCACCTTTTTCAAATGAAGTTTCATGGAAAATTTGCGTGTGAAGCTGGTATTGCAGAGGGGACATACAGAAAACTTTCCAGCATGTGTGAGTGAGTGATAGTACAGACTGTTGGCTATGAGGTATCCTTTGCCACACACCGAGCAAGTATACGGCATGCTATGACCGTGACGATTGGACATATGCGTCTTCAGGTCCGACTCATACTGGAAACGAGCCGGACACAGTTTGCAACACAAATCTTGTCCTTGTTGCCCACCGGAGGAAGAGCCTGAGCTGGAGTGTAATGAAACTGGATTTCTGCTAAATGATGGCTTTCCGTTCCAAGAGTCAACCATTCTGTAATCTTCCCCTGACTCCCCATACGCATCCATTTCTGAAACAGACGAAACCATTATTTTTTTCCCCCAAATTTTCTCATAAGCAAACAGACTAAGTGAAATTCTTCAGGACACTTTGTGTTTATTTCTATAGAAAAAAAGTCAGCCCTTGATCATTACCACCCTACCTACATGATACATGCCAGTAAAGGAAAGGTGACTGCAGGGTACATTTTGTTTTCATAGCAAAACTAAGCACAAATACCATCATTTCTCCCATAAATCGTTGATTTTTCAACATCTGTCTGAAGATAGGGGTGTGCCAATGAATTTTTTTTGTTTGTTTGTTTTTGTAAAGTGTTTTACGGCGCTTGCAACTGCATACGGTCATATGAGCGCGCGGGACACACCTAATATTTTCAGTTGGTAGGAAATTTTGAATTTTGCCCGGGTCGCAGCCGAAGCCTACTCTTATCGATGCCAATGAATTTATTTTTCATAGAAAAAGCAAACACCAAGTTAGACCATGGTACAAGTTTGCTCTAAGTCAATACTTTATTGTGCCAGAATGTAATAATCAAGCAGAAAATATTATTTGGCGGACTCCTCATATTATTATATTCCTATTTCACTTTTAGTAAGAGTTTTACGGCACTTGCAACACAATAAAGTCATATAAGAGCCCAAGATTAGAGGTGTTAAAAGAGGGTAACAAACACAAAAAGAAGACAGGGAGATAAAGAAGATAGATGTTTGACAGGAAAGAGGAAGCAAACCACACCAGAGCACCCGCCAACAACCCACATTCTATTCCTAGACAAAGAAGGACATGTATGTATGAAAGTAACCAGAAGTACATCCGGTGCATCTCTGTCCCGCCCGTGTCATCTAGACAGACTGCACTATAATTATTACAAACACCACTTTCTCCACTTGTTATCACCTTGCACAAGTCACTACAACATTTTCAGCGCATGATTACTTGATCTATTTTTCGACCATCACTTCAAGTGGAAGTCAAGTTTGTCAGTGACTTTGAAAGTAAATATTTAGACTACTACAATAAAAAAAATAATAATAATCTACTTAATTTTGAAAACAAGGCACAACTTTTAAACACAAGATCGTAACAATTGATTACAAACACATCCTATCCCTATCCATGTAACTTTTGACCCTAAAACAAGCGGGCTGCTTCCACCCAGCCTATCACCAGGGCCAGACTGGGCTGTCTCGGATGCCGCTGAAGTCAACTCAAGCAGCCAGGCAAATGTCTTCCAAAAATAACTTCCCCACACCTGTATTAGAACTCATGCCTTCATTCATCAGTAGTAGTAGTAGTAGTATAGGGTTTTACGGCGCTCGCAACTGCTAAGGTCATATGAGCGCGCTCATTCATCAGTGAGCAATAATGAAAATCTGAACCATTTACATCACTGACATCTGTTTGAATGACCTAGACAGCTTAGTATCATTATCAGGAACAGAACAACTTGACATTTGTTTCCTGTTCAATCTTTTGTGGCCGTGGTACCTCTACACACCTGCAATTTTATGATCGTGACAACACTTTGAAAGACTATCTTTCCACATGAAAATGGCCATTTTGTGCTGTCAAAAAGTAAGACAGACAAGCAGAAAGGAAGAAAAGTAGGGCCTATGCAAGACATGGCATCCTGGAACACCCGCTAAAATAAGGAGACTGGAAGCCTACAGCAGAAAAGACTTTTAGGAATTCATGCACTGTTTGCTAATCTCATATATATCTATCTACATATCTGCAACACAAGTTCATATCAGAGTAAGAAGCTCTTTTTGTTTTTGTAACGTGTTTTACAGCGCTCGCAACTGCATAAGGTCATATGAGCGCGCGGGACACACCTAATATTTTCAGTTGGTAGGAAATTTGGAATTTTGCCCGGGTGGTGGCCGAAGCCTTCTCTTATCGAAGTCAGAAGCTCTCTTCAGCCATTGGGGGTAAGACTACTTAAAAATGTTCTCTAAACAGGAGCTTACAAGCCTTGCACCTGACAATCCACATGCCATACATACAACAACAACAAAATCACACAAGAAAAATATAAAGATTATCTCATATATTATAAATTTTTATTGTTCTTTTTATTTTCAAAATAACAAAAAACATGTTGAAAATTGAACCCAAAGAGATACATGCAAAGTCTAGCATTGTGTTGCTCATAACTTAAAAATATTCTTCACATAACACAATCTTCTATAATACAGACAGGATGCAATCTATCACATTTCAATAAATCATGCAAAGGAAACTCATAATCATAATTGTCTGACTTAGTATAAGCACAGCAGGAACAGTCAATGCGTAAGAACGCACACATGATAAAGTACCTCTTTTTACTTTGACATCTCCCACAATACATGACTGCAATCAATACACAGATGTGAACCGGCCCACATCCAGGTAAATACAATAGTTTGTCCACATTTGTTCAGCACAGAAAAACAACTGAAAACAACCATCACTTAACCTACTACTTAATTTGGTTTCTATGAAAGAATCTAATCAAACCACCACTAGACATTGTTTTTAATGAAAGAATCTAGCTTCATCAAAAATCATATCTTCCAGCCATGTTTGTGCCGTGATACCTTGAAACGTAGAAAAGTTTTAACAGTGTCTAAACCACCCATTGCTTACATTCCATTTCCAAATATACAAAGCACCTAGTCGGAAGAACTTTATTTTTCCAAACTAAAAAATCCAAGGGTGAACAACAAATGTTACAAATTTGTTTTTCTGAGGGGAAATGTTTTTGCAAATTTATATCCAGACACACTTTGGCAAATCGCACATGGCAATAGGACAGACCAGGAGTTGTTTTAAAAATTCCACATCAAAACACTGCTCAATCCAGTCTACAATCTTTCATTCTTTCACCATCTTCTTACATACCAACATACAGTGTTTTACCGGAATAATTATCATTTGTTTTTTGTGTTGTAATATACACAAAAAAAAGTTTATGTCAAAATGGCAGGAGCCAAAAGCTACGGTGGTTTCGACGAGCTGCTATTGTAACACTGCAGTACATGCTGATCGTACTCCTCTAGGCGAAATATCTCTCGACAGGACAAACACTGCAATGACTTGTGCACAGTCCGAATATGTCGCCGTATGGTACTCTTTTGAGTGAATTTGCAGTCACAAATAGGACACATAAACGTCTTTCCTTCGTGCACCTGCATGTGCAGGCTAAACCCTGACCCACTCAAATACCCTTTCCCGCACAGAGCACACGTGTACGGCATTTCATGACCATGAAACTCGGAGATATGACTTTTGAGTTGAAATTTTTCTGAAAAAACTGCAGGACAACTTTGGCACTTGAACTGCCCATATTTCCCAATGTACGGATCAAACACTTCCGATTGAAAAGCTCTTCCACCATTATTGCCCGCAATACCATCAGACGACATTTGGCTTGAATTGAGATCGCCTGAAACAAAAATAAAGTTTCACACCTTTCAGATCTTTCCTACTTAGATGGAGCAGAGAAATGACAATATCACGGCCAAACTACGCAAATTCTAAGTTATAATCATGCTTGGAATTTCACACTTGATATAAAAGCAGTAACCATTCTCATGTGTTTCATTTCACCACCCCCCCCCCCCCCCTCACGAAGAACATAAATCTAAGCATGGATCATGTCAACTGATCAAATCAAATCAATGTCTCTCATCCCTGTTAAGACAATGGATGTTTTATAATTATTACAACGGGAAATGCTTTACAGTATACAGCACTGACCATTCTCTCATAAAAATGCTTTATCTATGGCTGACACTTGACATTTTTAACCCTCCTCAAATAACAGGCCTCTAATCATGGTAGGAACGTACTATTACTTCATGGTGAAAACCACTCCGACAGGTGTCAGGGGGAAAAAAAATTAACATTAACCCCATCTGTACGCCCTGGGGTCATTTTGTACCACTGGGGTTGTATTCTTCACATTTTAGAATACTTCTAGTACTAAGATCTCTTTGAAACTTTCAGTATTTCTCAAAAAATCATTTCGACAAACCCCTGTGCAGAGTGTAAGGATCGGATTAACGAGTAAATTTCCTCTTTGGAAAGTGGTGGCACAGAGTTCCCCAAGTCGTATGGATACAATAATAAAACATGACCTACGGATAGGGTAAAAATGCTGCTCAATCCAGTCGATAGTTTTTTAATTCTTTCAACGTGTACCTTCTTACATACCGGTACTAAAACACAATGTTTTACCCGACTAATAACCATTTGTCTTTTGTCGGCTTAGTTTTCAAATTAGAGGTCACAATGACCGAAACTAAAAACTACTTTGTTTCTATGAGCTAATATTGTAACACCGTTGAACATGCTGATCATACTCCTCTAAGCGAAATATCTCCCCACAGGACAAACATTGCGACGACTTATGAACAACCCGGATATGTCGCCGTATGGTACTTTTTTGAGCTAACTTGCAATCACAAATAGGACACACATACGTCTTTCCTTCGTGCACCTGCATGTGCAGGTTAAAACCTGAAGAACTCATATACCCTTTCCCACACAAAGCACAAGTGTAAGGCATTTCATGACCGTGAAGCTCTGAGATGTGACTTTTGAGTTGACTTTTTTCAAAAAAAACTGCTGGACAACTTCGGCACTTGAACGGCGCAAGTTTCCCAATGTATGGGTTAAACAAATCCGATTGAAAAGCTCTTCCACCATGATTATAGCCTGCAATACCATCAGATGAGATTTGGCTTGAATTGAGATCGCCTGAAACAAAAATAAAGTTTTATACCTTTCAGATCTATCCTAATGATTAGATGGAGCAAAAGAATTAAAATACAACTGCCAAACAAAGCAATTTTAAGTTATAATCATGCTCTGAATTCCAAACTCTATATAAAAGTAGTAATCATTCTCACGTGTTCCATACCACCCCCCTCACAAACACCACAAATCTTGGCATGGATCATGTCAAGTAAGTCAAATCAATGACTCTCATGCCGGTCAAGACAATGGATGGTTTAACAATAAACAAAGTGGAGATACTTTACAAAGAATCAACTTTTCTCCCATAATGCTTTCTCGGTCCATGGTTGGACCTGTCGACATTTTGACCACCCACAAAATACAGGCCTCTAATCACGGCAGAAATGGCACCTCTACTTTAGGGAGTAAAAACAAACTCTAACAGGTGTCAGAAGCAAATACAATCGGTAAAAACAAGAACAAGAACAAAATCAGGTACTTATACAATGAACTTCACTTTAACTTTGGGAAAACAGAAAATCAAAGGCAGCTAACTTAGTCATTCATTAAAATTAATAACAGAAAGAACAATGTGTCAAAAATTGTACAAACAATAATGAAGTATACATTGCCTTACAGTTACTAATGCATCATATCGTCTTTTAAAAAACTGGAGCCTTAAAACAATTTCAGGCCACAACTAGGGTCATTGTGCAATTGAAGTAAAAAACAAACCACAACATTGCCCAAAGATGCATGGTAAATATGACTGGCAAAAACTAAAGGCAGAACTGGACAGTTGCTTCACTAAATGCAGAACTGGACAGTTGCTTTAATAAATTTCAATGTTATCTTTCCCCAATGCACTGGAGCAGAGAACAGATGCTGCCACAAATAAAACAAAAAACAAGCTAGAAAAAATTGTGAACAAAAGCCATATGCCTCTTCAGCGTGGCAGTCTGCGTATATCTTTTGTCGCAAATGGGACAAGCATGGTAGGTCCCTTTGTGAACTTGCATGTGCCTATACAGCCCAGAGGTACTAACATAGCCTTTCCCGCAAAGTTTACAAACAAAAGGAGTATGTCCATGAGCTTGCGCCAAGTGGCGGCCAACGTGTTGGCTACTAGGGAACACGTCCCCACACAGGTGACACGAGAACGTGATAGGGGAGCGGTTGCTGGACGGACCCATCACTGTGTGCTGGGAATAAGATCTAGAGGTAGTTTCATTCTGCCGATCCTTTGCACACTTTTGCCCTCTACCGAAATCCTCTGAAAAGCAAAACAGTCCTATGAGATTCCAGTCAGGTAAGAGAAAGACAGCAACAACTGCTTGTAACAGCAAAACCAACTCTAGTCACGGCATGACTAGTGGCCTATAATATGAACAATAACACGATCCTACAACAAGCTGATACACTAGTGATACACAATTAATCAGTTAAACCCTGCCTTTGCATAATTCAAACTTTAAAAAAAAAAAAAGAGCAGTTAATCGTTCAGTCAAAATCTGGGAAGAAGCAAGTATAATATAAGCTGAACAGGAAACAGCACAGTCTCAGTCAGCAACTTCAAAACATCATTTTGTGGATTCTTCTAAGATGCTCTTTCAAATGATGCTTGAGCAGGAACTTGGAGTCACAAAACTCGCACTGATATTTCCGTCCACTGTGGCTCTTTTTATGATGGGCAAGGCCTGAATGACTAAAAAAACCTTTTCCACACACAGAACAAGAAAATGGCAAACAGTTGCCGTGATAAGTAGAGATATGTTGTCTATGCATGTACATAAGGGGTGAAATGACAGGGCAAAAGGGGCACTGCAACTGTTCCGAATGCTGCCCTCCTACGTATTTCTGACTTTCTGATTCTGAAAAGGTCAGCTCCGGTCTGTCATAAGCTATCAATTCTTGCGAATTAACTGGAGGAGTTATGCCATGATACAAAGTTCTTGAATCAGCTGTTAATTTGCGCTCTGAAAGAAGAGAAAGTAAGTAAATTCAATATAACCCCTTAACCATTATTCACCCTTAAAAAATACTTCAAAGAAAACAAAACTGATTTGTTTCATCTACTGTGCTTTGCCTTGCTTTTTCAAAAATTGTTTAAACAGAGCCTTTAGCCTTTTTGCTTGGGTAGTCAGCAAAACTACTGTAAGCAGTAGGCTCTGTCTCTGAGCTAACCAATATTTATCTTCAGTGAACTTCAAACAAATGAGTCTTTGCAGGTGTCACTTTAGTTTGAATACACACAAAAAAAGCACACTGAATCTTCACCAGCCATTTAGTGTATGAGGAAGAAAAAAAAAAAGACACAAAAGAAGAATAAAAAAGGGACTAGAATATACGCATGACCCACCACAACGCCCTAAAACCTGCATGTAGGAAAATAGATACTTCTTTAAATTCACCTTCAAACCAAAAGGATGAAATTTCTGTATATAACAGGATCTACACACATTTTTGACTATAATTTCGTGAAAAAAGAAGAATAAAATCCTAAAACTAGTATATGTCAGCAGAATGTTTAAAACTGGGAATCTATTTGAGATATCCACCTACACTTATCTTTCTTCGACAAAACAACTCAATATGAACAAGGGCGGTCTTATGGAGACACACTACAGACAACATTAACACTGTTCTGGTGTGAACAAGGGCGGTCTTATGGAGACACACTACAGTCCATATAAACACTGTTCTGGTGTAGTCAGAGACAAATGCAGAGGGAGAAAAAGAAAAAGCAGGACATCACTGTGAATGCAGCACCTCTTTATGCACTGTCCACAAGTGTCTCTTCAAATGATGCTTATGCTTGAATTTCATATGACATACATGACAAATGAACTTCCTCTCAATATGATCTTTCTTGTGGTGCTGCAAGCCCGACCTACTCAAGAAACGCTTCCCACAATACGTACAACTAAAGGGCAGCTGATCACAGTGGTAATGCTGAACATGGGACTGATAATTCTGCATGCTGAGCAGGTCAATTTGACAAATATCACAATAAAACTGTGGCCATTGCTGATGTTGACTGCTGGACAGTTGCACAACCCTTGTGTGGAACATATCTCCAGGAAGCTGCATTTGATTTGCATGTATGTTTTCAAAAGCTGTCTGCTTTGGTGACTTTTCCCTGACAACATCCCATCTCTTTACAAGATTCTCTGAAAAACAAACAATGCTCAGTGACACAACTGGCAGCAAATCCTGGAGTTTTACTTCTTACATCCAAAAAAAAAAAAAAAGAAAAAAAAAAAGGCTGCCAGGGACCAACATACACGGTTAGCACACACATCAAATTCCCCAAATAAACAAAATCCAACAGTTGGAAAAAAACAAACAAAATACAAAACAACAGTTCAGAGACTTGTAATTTTGTAAAACAACAGAAGCACATTGGGCAAACATTTTAGTACAGCCATCCGTCAATCACAGTGGAACTTTCTCTCATGATCTCTAAGATGATGTTTGTGGGTAAACTTGGTGCCACAAAATTTGCACACAAACCGCTGTCCCTTATGTGCCTGCATGTGGTGGCGTAGTCCCGAAGGACTGATAAAGCCCTTCCCACACAGGGAACAGTGATACGGGAGCTGGTCATTGTGAGCATAGGTCATGTGTTGGGAAAAGGAAAAACGAGTGGCAGCTACTTCTCCACACAGATAACATGTGAGAGACATTGGACCCAAGTTTCCATTCCTATGAAATTTCTCACTTCTGACGCGGGTCAACGGGTGTGATGCCTTGGCTTTTCCGTAAACAAAATGACAAGAATCTGATTCTCTTTCAACGTAGGGAGAGGAATCCAAATGAGATGCACGGTTTTGAACGTTCACACCATCTGAAATGATAAATCATTTAAATCTACTTTACACAAACAAAAAAATGGCCCTTTCACTAACTATAACAAACTAACCAATATAATTTGCAGAAATTTTATTTTCCTAAACATAAAAAAATATAGTTCTGCCATTAATGTCAATGAACATAACAATCAACGAACTTTGATACTCAACATAAAATAGCCATTCAAATACATGTAATTCACATCAGAGGCAAACTTCACCACATAGTACATTAGTAACACACCAATACTAACACCCACAACACAAGACTATTTTTGTGAATGCACAGAAAAAAGAATTCGACCTGAGCTTTTCAAATGTAGCTAACCAAATGACAAATATTCCCCCACTAGAACGAAACAACTTTCATAGAACTTATTCCACCTCTAGAGGAACGCCTATAAAAATCAAAAGAAAGGACGTAAGCCACTGGAGCAGCAATGTCCAACAGTGACGCCTACTAAAACCATTCTTTGTTTACAAAGGGAGGGGGGGCACAGTAATTCTTGACACAACACCAGTCACATGACATTAACATATTCTTAATCCATTGACATTGAGAAGGAAAAGTACAATCATTCATCTACAAGTGCGTAAGTGTTTGTTGAACTCTCTCACATCTTGAAATGTAGACATACAGTTGAGGCATGGGTACAGCTTGTGAAAATTTCTCAAATGGGAAATAAGGTACTGCCTGCGCTTCACTTTCAGGTCACAGTATTGGCAGGAGAACTTCTTTTCACTTCCGTGGTCATTCAGGTGTCTTTTAAACCCAGAGCTGGTAAAAAATCCTCTTGGACACAAAGAACAAGGGAAAGGCAACTGCTGTCCATGCTGCATGCTCATGTGACGCTGAAGCAACGTTCGTGACTCTGACTCCACACAGCAAATTGTGCATGTGAAGCTTCGGCCAACGTGTGGACCACTTGTCACTAATGTTCCACCAGGAGGAAATACAGTCTCATTCTGGACCGCAGAGGAACTAGACGAGTACGACCTCTCAAAATCATAGGTCATGCCTCTGTGCTCATGTCCTCTCCCTGAAAAGAAGAATATCAGTTAGACGCATTTGACTAAACAAAAGGAAACTCACAATCCAATAAAGTTTAGCCTGACTATCAACATGCTCACAAAGTTAAAAAAACCCTAGAAGAATGACATTTCCAAAATCGAAGCAAAGCTCATTTGGACATCCATCAATAATTCAGAATCAATTAACTTTCTACATGCTTTGCCCACACTGTAAAATATGCTTGCTGAAGTCAAAATCAGAAGAGAATGTCTGTGGACAACGCGGGCAAGGAATCAGCTTGTGTTTGCTTCTCAGATGACTTTGTAGATGGTGCTTCCTTTTAAACTTCAGATCACAAATCGGACAAATGAACCTTCTCTCTCCATGATCGTCCATGTGCAGCTTTAGTCCAGATTCTGTAAAAAATCCCTTCCCGCACACTGAACAGGCAAATGGCAGCTGCTGGCTGTGGCTGTGAGCCACATGTTGATGGTATGACACCTTGGATGGAAGCGAAGCTTCACAATATTCACAATTGTATACTGCAGGCCCCAAACTCGTGTTATTTCCACTATGAGAGCTATCTGACCCAAAGTGAGTCCGTGGGTTGTGATACATAGAAGTTGAATGTCCTCCATCCACATCTGTCCCTGAAACATAAAACGTGTCACAATCAGCAAGGAAGTGAAGGCCTGTAATTACTCATTACTAGGTACTGCAACAACACAAATGTCCCAGCTACGACCTCTGCTGGAACTTTTGTCAGCAAAGGGGCTGGACGGACAGGTGACAGCTTCGTACGTGAGAGTTAAAACTGTCCACAGGGAAGACTTGTGAACAAATGCGACAATGTTTCAATTTATGAACACCTTCCATGTGTCGCTTGAGGTTGTGCTTATGCTGAAATCGAGCATCACATTCTGAACACACATGCTGGTATCCTCTGTGAGCTTCCAAATGATGCCTCAATCCAGTCGTTGAAAAGAATCCTTTCTGGCAGATTGAGCACACAAATGGCAACGACCTCTCTTCTCTATGAAATTCATTCAGATGCTTTTGAAACAGAGACCGTGTTTCCAATTCAGCACCACAAAACCTGCACTGGATGCGACTCTGATCACACTGAAAACGCATACGGAAAGAGTGAAGTGGAGGGACAGTCATGGATGAGGTGCCCATGAAGCCTTGTCCTTTGAAAGCAGCAGTAATATTGTGATGATCAAAGTGACCTCCCTGATGAGATCTGACGTCTGAAAAGAACAAAATTATTTCCTAAGTAATAAGATAACATTTTGCAATTTTCATCTTCATCCACAGTCAAATTATTCCTGGACTCTATTTACATTAAAAAATTGAAATCATGATGTGTTTCACATTTTCAAACGAAGTAAACACAGAATCTATTAAAACCAGTACCCACATAACTATTATAAAAAGTAAGTGTACAAGTGGCACTAAAACTATTGTGCAAAACACTAAACACCCTTTCCGTTCTGAGCCAGAGTAGCTCACTCAAACTGGTCAGTAAGTCAGAGCTGACGACGCACTGCTACCATCACATCGCAAAACATGAGAATCAAATTCCTCTCCCTTTTTGAACAAAGCCAAACAGTATCTGCACTGCTTTAGGCCATGAGAAGTCTCTAAATGTCTTTTGATATTCTTCTTATGTTTAAACTTGGCATCACAAACATAGCAAGAGTGTTCATCAGGAAATAAAGAATGGGAAGCAAATCCACTGGGTAAAATTTCGTGGCCATCCATACGAGAACTGGCATAGCCGCTCGACTGTATCAAATATTGTACGGACGGTTGGCTCCCAGAGGTCACCCTATCAATCTGAATAGCTCTAGACTTTCCTTGGACAGGGAAATGCTGCTGCCCAGTCAAACTAGAACCTTCACCACCTGCAACAAATAAAAGTTCTCGCTGAGGATTGGGTCAAAACCGCTCATGCTTGGAAATAAATTAATTTAATGGATAACAGAAGCTGCAAAACATATGACAACAAGTATCAATACTTTTTAATGCTTACTTTGCAGACAAATTTTTTATGGCATGGACAAACTAAAAATTTGACTTGATTTACTGACCATACTGAAAACTGAAAAGC